TATATATACTATACTATATTAATATATATATATACATACATATATATATATATATATATATGGTTCACACATGTCTGTATTTAGACGTACCAGGTCATATGAATTTGATTATATACAAAAACGTTCTGGGAGCCATGTATTTGCTAGGCACAGATCCTCCCCATATTATATGCGCATGCAGATCTTTGTACCCATACTTCTAAACTTATACACTAGCTATACATATCTCTAACCATATGAATTTAAAATAATTCATACACTTGTAATGTCCTGCATACTAGGCTTTCAAATAAGTATACACATCTCTATGTATTCGTATCTGTAACATGCTTTATACGAGGTTCAGAGCATGATTACGACGCCTATGTATGTTGGCAGATACATACATATTTTATGCTTTATATTTATATTTATTTTGTTCGAGCAATCCTTAATATACATATATGTGACCTACATCCAAACCTCGTTTGTCAGCTATATACACACGTCTATCTGTTGTAGTCAAGGATGTACCAGTGGTCCTACACACACAGTCTGCCTAGGGCGTATCCAAGGCTTAACTTTCCAGAAGTCAGCTACATGCCAGAGTCTCTCGTCCGGTAATATGTATGTATTCTCAACGCAACGCTTTGCAAAAACGCCACAGATGATCGGTCGAAGTACACTGATGCCGATGGCGAGCCAGCCGCATACCACCCTGGGACTAGGGGAAGGGCCTCACAGGTGGATCTGATTGGGTACGTCTGAGATACATACGCACACACACACACACACACACAGCTATATATGTAAGCATACCATGCTGATAATGTTCCTGTAGGTGGTACTATGCAATGCCTGGATGGTTGCTGAGTCTCATGGGTGGACTGTTTGGTTTCTTGCGTCGGGTGGCCGGGAAAGAGTTTTAGGGTTTTAGGGTTTTAAGGTTTAGAGGGCTCTGTTCTCGCTGGTGATCGTGGTTGCGCTTCTGCTGTGCATGGACTAGGCTAACGTGTACCGTTGCGACTGCTGGGGCTGTACTGCTCTGTAGTCGCCGCTGCGTAGTTGATTGGTTGTGTGGTGGAGGTCTGCGTTCGTTTGGGTGTTTGATGTGTGTTGTAGTACACTCTTATACACATGTGATACACCTCTCATGCACATGTGTAGACTGTGTCTATATATTGTCTATATATCTGCGAGTCCATTGATTGTGTGGTATGTGCTGTGACCCATTTATGCCTATGGCTGTGTGTGCTTGGCACCTGAGTGAGCCAACATCACTCTCAGTAACATCCACTGGCCCTTCAGACACTGTAGGCGAGAGACGTTCAATATAGTCCTCATACACTGTAGGTGAGAGACGTTCAATGTATTCCTCATACACTGTGGATGAGGAACGTTCAATCTAATCCTCATACACTGTGGATGAGAGACGTTCAATCTAATCCTCATACACTGTGGGTGAGAGATGTTCAATTGCGTTGTCTTCTCTCGAGCCTTTGACTGATGTATGTCCGTGCTGTATTCGCGAGTATCTATAGCCCAAAGTGTGTTCTGATGTCTGTGCATGTTCACAGAACGCGCACACCATAGTAGAAGCCAAGTGACTGAATGTGGGGCTCTAGGTCTCCTGAGTGGGTATTGGATCCTCCCATATGCCTGAGGGGTGGTTTTCTGTGTATATTATGGTTCGGCGGTTCTAATGCAATCAGTAACTGCTCTGCGCTCCCAAATTTGAACGTGTCTCAATCCGTCGATATGGATGAATACGTAGCAACGCACACGCACATGCAGATATGGGTGTCCGAGTATGGGATGTATCTATGCTAATGTGCATGCACAAGTATATACACATGCATACACGAGTACATATATAATACACACACACACACATACACACACACACACACACACACACACACACACACA